GAAGCAGTGATTAATGGGTAAAGAAGCAATTCTTAGTGGGTTCTCATTTGTTTAGCTAGAAGGGTGTTTGGATGCTGAGAAAATGTTTGCTGTTTGAACACATGGCAAAACGTTTTGTCCATGTCATTACTTTTTTTAATTTTACGCTCCACGTCATAAAAAAAAATATAAAAAATGCCACATATGCAGAGTTAACGGTAAAAATTAACAGAAGGACTAACGGTGTGCATTTGTTAGAGTTGAGAGATTAAAAAAGTGCAAAAAATTGTTGAGGGATCAAAAATGTGCATTTCTTAAAGTTAAGGGACCAAATTTAGCATTTAACCTATTTTTGAAACATGTTGATTTCGGATTTCCACTTTTTTCAACTTCTCAACTTTTTCTTAATAGAAACCAAAACTGGGCAAAGATAAGTTCACACCCGGCACAATGATTCAACCCAACTCGTATCATATGAGCTTACATGGTGACAAGCTACTTACCCACCACTTGCCGTTTCAAAAAGGGCTTATTCAAAGCGTTTTGGGGGAAATTTAGCTAAAAAAGGAACACTCTCTCGACATCCGCTTGTGAGGACTGAGGAGCAGCAGAATCATCTCTGTTTTTTTCCTGCCCTGCGTCTCAGCAAAAAACGGCAACTCTCTGCCACCGCATATGGCTCCACCTCTGTTAACCCACGCTCCCGTTCTGCTTTCCCTTAAACTTCATCGTCCCATCCATTCTTTCTAGTCAAGATTCAATCTTTGGAATCTTTCCTCTGCAAACTCTGTTATCAATGAATGCAAGTTACAGTCTTTTCGTTTTTGTTCTGTTCTGCGCATCATTTCTGGCCTCCGGCGAGCAGAATCAGGCGGAAATCGAAGCATTGACTGCTTTCAAGCTTAATCTCCACGACCCACTTGGGGCTTTTAATGGGTGGGATCCGTCCACGCCGGCCGCTCCCTGTGACTGGCGTGGGGTTGCATGTACGGACGACAGGGTCACCGAGCTCCGCCTGCCTCGCCTCCAACTCAGTGGCCGAATCAGTGACCGTCTTGCTGACCTCCGTTTTCTGCGCAAGTTAAGCCTCCGGTCCAACTCTTTCAACGGCACCATACCCCTTTCTCTCTCCAAATGCACACTCCTACGCGCTGTCTTCTTCGACTACAACTCACTCTCCGGCACCTTACCGCCCGAGATAGGTAACCTGACGGATTTGCAAATACTAAACGTAGCTCAGAACCATTTGACCGGCGAACTCCCCGATGCTCTTCCGCCTTATATCAAGTACCTGGACCTCTCATCAAATGGGTTTTCCGGTTCGATTCCTAGAAGCGCTGGTGATTTATCCCGACTTCAACTTATTAATCTTTCATACAATCAGTTTTCTGGTGAGATTCCTCCGAGTCTGGGTCAGCTTCAGCAGCTTCAGTATCTCTGGCTCGACCATAACTTCATAGAAGGGACCATACCGTCGGCGATTGCCAACTGCTCCTCCCTCGTGCACTTGAGTGCGGAGGGCAATGCGCTTGGTGGGGTGGTTCCGGCAGCGATTGGAGCTCTGCCCAAGCTCCAAGTCCTTTCGCTCTCGCAGAACAACCTTTCAGGGTCTGTACCATTGTCGGTTTTCTGCAATGTAACGCGTTACCCGCCCTCAGTTCGGATCGTGCAATTAAGGTCCAATTCGTTCTCGGATGTTGCCGCGCCTGATTCAGGTGCATGTTCCAGCATTTTGCAGGTTTTGGATCTTTCACAGAATAAGATAAGCGGCCCTTTTTCATTGTGGTTAACGCACATTTGGACGTTGACCATGCTGGATATCTCTGGGAATTTGTTCTCCGGTGTGATTCCGGCGGACGTTGGGAACTTGACGAGATTAGAGGATTTGAAGATGGCTAATAATTCTTTCAGTGGGGTGATTCCGGCGGAGTTGAAGCAATGTGGGTCCTTGCGAGTGCTTCACATTGAAGGGAACCGTCTTTCAGGTGAAATCCCTGCATTTTTAGGTTATATGACTGGTTTGAAAATGCTGTCTCTGGGTGGAAATCTGTTTTCCGGTTCTGTTCCGGCAAGTTTTCAGAATCTCACAGGGCTTGAGACCTTGAACCTGGGACAGAACAACCTGAGTGGGAGCTTTCCTGCTGAGATAATTGCCCTGAGCAATTTGAGCACATTGGACCTAAGTGGAAACAAGTTTTCCGGTGCAGTTCCGGCGAATGTAGGGAACTTGGGCCAGGTTATGGTTTTGAATCTGAGTGGTAATGGCTTTTCGGGGAAGATCCCTGCAACTGTGGGCAATTTGTTCAGGCTTACGACTCTTGATTTGAGCAAACAGAAACTCTCCGGCCAGTTGCCCTCTGAGCTATCTGGCTTGCCAAATCTGCAGGTCATAGCTTTGCAGGAAAATA